CATGTATAATAGAGAGAAACAAATGAGAGAAACAAAATACCTGCCTAAAATCAAACCTCTTATTGAATCATCACTTTAAAAAGATTTTTGTATAATAAAAAAATAAAAAGGATCGACAAAAAGAGGACTCTTTCAGGCTGGAATGCTTCACAGCGCATGGAACAATTTGAAAGTTAAGAATTAAAATCTATTAGATATAAAATCATCGACGTCTGGAATTATCGATATCATTATAGACAGGCGAATTTCACTAATATATTCTTCTTCTTCTTCTTCATTTATCCAATGTTGGACATAGGCCTCCTCCAATTGCTTCCACGCTTCCTTATCTTTTGCAATTCTCATCCACTGCTTTCCAGCTACAGCAGTTATATCGTCTCACTAATATATTATAACCTAATATATTATAATCACATATGCACACTGATGTGTGTTGTATTGCCTACGAAATAGGCGAAAAGAACAAATTTATATATTTACAGAAATGATGATGACAAAGACGAAAGAACACCGTTACAGTGTATATACAAAAATGCCATTCTGGTCATTAAAATTACGTTTGGCGGCCATTGCTTTTGTTTTCTGTGATTTATTCTAAGTCTTTGTCTTCTTTAAGCCAAAACTGTTTTCTTGATGAAGAACTTGTAAGGCTTTCAACACTTTTAGGCATACTAACCTCGTCGTCTTCGTACTTTTATGTATTTTACACATGTTCTGTTGACTTCAATTTCATCTTCTACAACTCTTTGGAAAATTTGTCGCTTTATCAGCATATCATCTGTTAGATTCTGATCAATATCCAGTTGTACATATCCAGATTCTTGATAAGTGCAATACTTCGTCAATTCCTTAGCTTTTAAGATTTTAATTCAATTTTATTTTTACACCATTGTTAATTTATGTGTACCAATTGATTAGTCTATGGAATGTTTACTAGATGTGCTTTCTCACAAAGAGTCACACATTTTTGCACATACCCTACGGCCAGAGCAAAATAAACAACTGTGCCCCTTAAATTATCATTATAAACTGAAATAAAAGCAGTACTTAAAACGAACCGTAATAAGTACAACGTTTCGAGTTTATCGCCTGTTGAGTACTAACTTCCGTCTCTGAAAAACCAACCGCTAAAACAAGTGAATGGAGCACAAAGCCATAAAGCCAATAACGATTCGAGAAATTGTCTTCTTTTCATTTAGTGTGGCCTACTTAACACTGAAACTGCAGAAAAAACGGCAGTAAAACACGGGTACGTCGATACTACTAATCTATTATTTGATATTACAACATGAACGCCGTTAACTTTTTTTATTAAGATATTTTTATATTCTTAAAAAAGGACTGTATATATTGTCTGAATGCCTAAACATAAACATAGACTACCATTTCTCTGAACATAACCTAAACATACCCATAACCTAAACAAACTAGATAAAGAAATCTTTAAAGCCATCAGACGGGATATTAGAAAATACAACAACGAGCAAATTATAAAGACTATAGAAGACAACAAAAGCATGAAAGCATTGAGGAGAAAAATGGAAAATTGCAAAAAAGAAATCTTCCAACTTAAAGACAAAAATGGAAATATTATCTCAGATAGACCAAGCATATAGTGGAAAGTTTGTATGAAACATTATATAAAAGTCAAGTTATTCCAGAGCTCATCGAACAACCAATACAAAAGGTACATAATGTAGGATCGGAGGATATACCAGATATATCACGAGAGGAAATTCAACATGCCCTCAAAAATATGAAAAATAATAGAGCTCCGGGGGAAAATGGTGTAGTCATTGAGACAAATAAACTAGGAGGTCCACTTTTGATGTCCCGAATCCAAACACTTTTTAATCTATGTCTGCATAGTGAAAACATTCCAAGTAAATGGAAGAATTCGGTTACAATCCTCCTCCACAAAAAAAGGGGATAAATCAGATCTCGAAAACTATAGGCCAATTAGTTTGCTTAACCACCTATACAAGCTCTTTACTCGAATACTGACAAACAGATTAGAAGAAAAACTCGATTTCTATCAATCAGAAGAACAGGCAGGATTTCGAGCGGGACACGGAACAAACGACCATTTGCAATGCCTTAAAATTCTAGTTGAAAAGTCTATCGAATATAACAGACCCCTTGCTCTTATTTTTGTCGACTTCCACAAAACATTTGACATAGTCGAAACAGTTGCTATCCTAAAGGCACTATCAGAATGTAGAATAGATCACAGGTATGCAAATATTATTCGAAATATATACGAAAATGCGACAACAACCGTTAACCTCCATTGTATGACTGAGAAGATAAAAATTGGCAGAGGGGTACGGCAGGGAGATACCTTGTCGCCAAAACTATTTATAACAGTTATGGAGTACGCATTTAAATGGCTAGAGTGGGAATCAAAGGGTATTAGCATCGATGGAAAGATATTCAATTATCTTAGATATGCCGATGATATTTTTCTCATAACAGACAACTTAGGAGAAGCCAGAGTTATGCTACAACAACTACAGCAAGTAACTCAGAAAGTTGGTTTAAAAAATAAACTATGGAAAACAAAAATGATGACCAATCTCGTCCCCAATGAGCTAATAGAAATTGAAAAGTTGTCCATAGAACTTGTGGCAAAATATGTGTATTTGGGTCACGAAATAAGGTTAATGCGAGATAACCAAACATGCGAGCTACGAACCGGTGTGGAAGACATTATCGAATGTATTACAAGGCAAAAATGGAGATGGGCAGGACATGTTGCAAGAATGAAAAACGACAGTTGCCACAAAAATTGCTTAAGTGGAGACCACGGGCTGACAAGCGAAGCCAAGGAGACCCCCAACGCGATGGACCGACGACCTCAAAAGAATCGTGACCAATTTGATAGCAAAGGCGCAGAACAGAAGCAGATGAAAAAGTCTAAAGGAGGCCTATGTTCAACAATGGACAACTCAGGGCTGATTGATAATGATGATGATGACCATAGCTCTGATATTAGTGAGCAATGAGTAAAGGGGCGAGGTAAATGATCCTGTCTTCAGTAGCTCCTGTGGTTGCTAAAAATATTTAAGAGGTTTAAATATCAATAAATATAAAAGCACTCCTAAGTGCCTTCTCTGTTAAGGTTGTGTGGGTCCAATCTCTGATGTTTCGTAGCCAAGATTTTTTCTTTCGTCCTTTGCCCCTTTTACCTTCAATCTTGCCTTCTAATACTACCTGGAGCTGCTCAAAGCCCAGCCTGTGACTTTCTTTTGATAATATGTTCATCAATATTTTTAGTTGGTCTTCTGTTTCTACTAATACTACGGTGTCATCAGCATATCTTATATTGTTAATGATGATTCCATTCACTCTGCTTCAGGGCAATCTTCAAGAGAAGCTCTAATTATATGTTCGGCATATACATTAAATAATAGGGGGGACAAAATGCACCCTTGACGCACTCCTCGTTTTATGTTGATGTACTTGGTTTTTCCGTTCTCTGTTCGAACGCATCCTGTGTGATTTCAGTATGTATTACTTATGATAGCTATCTCGTGTCCATCCAACCCTACTTCTTTTAGTACCTCAATAAATTTTCCGTGTTTGATGCGATCGAAGGCCTTTCTATAATCAACAAATCACACATACAACCGTTTTTGAACCTCAAGATACCTTTCTGCCATCAGTGTCAATCTCATAATTGCTTCTCTAGTGCCTGTTTGCTTCTAATTGTGAATTGCTTCTAAAACCATATTGAGAACGACTCGACTGAACGAGGTATCATTCACACTTATTGTGAATTCGGTTTTAAATTATTCCCATCAAAATCTTAGCGACATCGAACTGTATCCCTCATTAGGGATACAGTTCGATGGTATTCACATTTCCTTGCTTTTTATTTTTTAGGAAGAGCTATATATGTGGATGTTAGCCAGTCATGCGGTATTATGCCATGTTCATATATAATGTGGCAGATATATGTTAATTTTCTCACAGCATTATCACTTAGGTGTTTAAAATGTTCGGATGTTATTAGGTCTTCGCCGGGTGCCTTGTTGTTCTTTACGTCTTTTATTGCATGCAAAACTTCTTTGGTGGGAATGTTTATTTTCCCTCTGTATCTATTTGTGGGGGCTCTTGTGTTCTCTGATCACCAAACAAATCTTTAAGATATTGCGCCCATATTTCTTTCTGTTTTTTCAGGGTCTAATTCCATTTGCACAAGGAATCTACGTTCCTGTAGTTGGCTGTATACCATATATTAAAAAATTTATTAAAATCCTTTGTAAAAGGTATATATTAAGAACCCAAACGGGCTAAGTTAAACAGACAAAACGTTTTCGGAATCCATATTCCATCATCAGTGACCTAGAAAATATTTAACAACTTAATTAAAAAGAACATAGGTTTAAAATTTTGACTAAGGTTAATACAAACTGTGGTTAATACTTACCAAGAGTACATGAATGTAGCCACTAAATATATGGGTAAAAACCCGTTAACAAACAATTGATTACATTTAGTTTACAAAATTTCTTATAATTATTTAAGATGTTAAAGTTACCGTTGGATTAGGTAACATGGCGACATATGACTCCACGTTGAAGTTGCTAGTCTTGAGACGGTGTGTCTACGAAGACTGTATGGGAGCAACTGAATGGCAATGACATTAATGACAATGTTGTTAAGTTATGACGGAAGTTGTAACAGAGCAGTCAATATAACTATATGTTTCTACTTAAGACAAAAGCCAACGTTATTTAAAATTGTGAAAATAAAATAAATTAATATAACAGTATCAACCATCAATGTTGTTGTTTTAAATTTATGTATATGAGATGAGATGTGGAAGGAAAAAATATATGTGGTTATAGGTAGGCAACCAACTATACATGTGTGCAGTAATGTAAAACTTTTTTCACTTGACTTCACCGGACATTGATCTTGTTCGGTTATCATTGTTGGAGCTTTTGGTCAATATCTTTATAAAATGTTAAATATAACACTACCTATTATTACAGATACATGAAGTACCTCTACCCATACGAATGTGAAAAACGACGACTGAGCACTCCTGCAGAGTTACAAGCAGCTATAGATGGTAATAGAAGAGAAGGACGAAGAAGCAGTTACGGCCAATACGATTCAATGCAACAAAGATCTCCGAACCCAAGTATGCATGTATCACCTTTGTCACTAGTTTCTCAACAACAACAGCAGTTGGCTGCCGCACGTATGATGGGAGGTGGTATGACTCTGCATAATGGAGCGCATCATCCTAGTCATCCGCAACCTTTGGGACAACCTATCAATGGAGGACCTCTACCAGGTAAGACAATACTTACTCTCGAGTACATGTATTATAATGTTAGTAGATACATATGCCTAACCGTTGTTTCCAGAAGATAACATAATTAATAAAAGGTATATTAGACAAACCATCACCGCTTTTATCCTTGTGTATTGCATATTATTTCCTTTTTTTAGGATTAGCCCCTAACGAATTCGAAGCGCGAATGATGGAATACGTAAAACTTCTCAACAAGGAAATTCGTGGCTCTACCGTTACACCTCCCCGACAAGGTGAAATATCGCCACCCAACGCTACTTCTCCACTCAACCACCTCGAAATGTCTCGTATGACTCTTTGGAACCTTTACAATAATAACCAGCCCAACATTGAACCTCAAAAGGAACCAATTAATCTATCAGAACCTTCTTCGGGTGTGTTAAAAAGGGAACCCGAATGCAGAGAGTCACCACCACCACCCAAAAGGCCAGTTAAGGAGGAAGAAGAACCAGAACCTTCAAAAGCAATGCATTCGCCTTCTACACATATTAAAATTAACAGTAGAGGTGAGTACTTAATCAAAATATATTTGTAGTTTATGTTTTTATGTATTTAAGCATATATGCTTTGTGTTTATATATAATATATTCTAAATTGATCACACTTTAATAAGACAGTACTGAACAATAACACACATCAGAAACTCTCGAGATTTGTGCTGATTATGTCCATATACTGTTGAAAACAACTTAAAACAAAGAATACTTTTAGATCCAAGTAATAATGATAACAAGTATCACAGCGATCTCGTGTAACAGTGTTTATTATCGAACTCCTCCCAAACTGCTTGACCGATTTTTATGAAACTTTTACAGTATATTTGGTAGGTATGAGAATAGATCATAACCTATTTTTTATTCACGCAGTTGCGTGAATCACAATGACAAGTTAAATGAAGTCAACAACGACGATTGGAACAAACATAACACACACAGAGCAAATGACGACAAACACCAACAAGTACATCGAGTATTTACGACTGATTCATTTCTTTATCTAGCATTCGATTATGAGTTCATCAACTAGCCTATATTTGTCCACAGATGAAAGTAGGCCTCCTGTAAAATGTTCCACTTCTTTTTATCTTTAGCTTCGTTCATCCTTTAGCTCTGGAACCCAGCTTATTCGCAAGTTTGGTAACTGTCCAGCTTGTTTACAAGCTCTTTTATTATTATCTCCATAAACAGTTCGATGTGTAGGAGAGCAAACTAATAGGTTTGTAGGTCTTTACTTAGAAATGTCACCTTTTTTGCGCGTTATGGTTATTATTGCATGTTGCCATTGGAAGGGGGTTAGGCGTCTTGTCAAACAAACATTGAACAGTTGCATAGTGAATATTACGCTCATTCGAAAGTGTAAATTGGTGCTATGGGCAAGGAATATTCCTATTGTCATTCGCTTAAATTCAAAAATGTCTTAGCTGGGATATGTTGCGCATCAGGAAAAAATACCTATCAGAAATTAAAACACCACCCTAACCATAGAATTTCTTATAGGTATGGATCGATCGTACATATCTGGAAGTCCATTCGCACATTAAATTCAAGCTTCCAAATGACATCGTTCGGAGCAGCAGAAAGAGTTCACAATAATCCGGCAAAAATATTCACTAGACGTCATTTATATGGCAAAACTCCGTTTTGTATTAGTATATATATATATATATATATATATATATATTATATATATATATATATATATATATATATATATAACGTTGATTTTCGATATCAGTCTATACTAAATATAAACGGTTCTTATTTTAACTAAATAGACAACCGGACCAAATTAATTGTCGCTATTATTGTCAACTAGAGATCATTAAAATTCTTATAGCCATACATGTCCCTTCAACTGTTTTTTTACTATTCTAAATTCCCCTCTTTAAACTTCCTCTCATTCCAAAGTGAGTCCGAAGGCAAACAAAAGCAGAAACGTTTGAACGTTCGACGTGCCAAAGAGAAAGAAATCCATTAATCTTCCTCATCATTAAAGTGGTTAATTTCGCTGTGAAGTGACACAACCCGAACAGAGTTTATTGAAATTCGAGTTCGGGAAGCAGAGGCGATCATTAATTTCACGTGGAAACTCATTTCACATTTCGAATTTTCAACGGAACGATGACATTTTGACCTCCGGTGCGCAATTTTCAATTTATATTAGACAAATTTTGTCAGACATTGAAGAGGACGATGTAGCTACTGACAGAACTATTGATCAATTTATACAATCTGTATCAACTTCTAGAATTTTATTTTATTGTGCCTGGTACTTTTATTGTTCTATTAATTGCACTATTGGCTATTATATTTAGTTTTTAATTTTGAATAGGTGATTTTAAACATACATATCAATGCTAACATAATATTATTTTAATTTAAATAGTATTTTTTTTTGTTGGTATTAAGCCACAATTGATTGTAATGAAAATTACAGTTTTACCAATGTTTGATGTTTCGATTTATACTCCGAAAATCGTTTTCAAGAAAGAATTTAAAAAAAATCTAGCAAGCAAGAAACTAAATATTGTTCTGAAACTATTTTCTTGTTACATTTTAAAGTAATTATTTAAGTGGGAATAAAGCCACAATTATTAAAGGTTAAAGTAAATTTATTGACGTTTCAATTTGCACTTCGTAAATCGTTCTCAAAATACAAATATTAGTGTTTGTAATAGGATGTTAAGCATTTTTGTAATAGGATGTTAAGCTCAAAAACTCCCTGTTCCCATAGCATTTCTAAAACAAAATTGGGTATCTGGGATTTTCTTCGCATTTGCATCTAATTCTGTTGTGAAGGATTTTAGGAACATTATAAGAGTGTGGCTCATTAGGCTAATTAATCGATATTCTGAGCATTTTCTCGCATTGTGCTTTTTAGGTATTGCGACAAAGATGGATTTAAGCCAATCTGTGGGAATCACTCCGGTGTTGTATATTGAATTAAAAAGTCTTACTACTTTTATATTATCATCCTCTATTTGTTTCAACAACTTAGTTGGTGTATCATGTGGACCACAGGCTTTTCTAAGTTTAGCATTATTTATAGCATGTTCTACTTCGCATTTCATAATTTTTGGGTCGTCAGTACAGTTTTGTTAGAATTCGGCAATATTATTGCTGTCATCTTCAAACAACTCTGATATATACAGCTGACATTCTTTTCTTATTTCGTGCTTATTTACAATAATGTTGTTATTATTGTCAACGAGTACAGAGGGAACTCGTTTTATAAATATGTTACTCATTTCTTTTAGTGTTTTGTGCACATTAAATTAGTCGTGTTTAGATATTACATTCTCCATTTCGTCGCACTTTTCTCTCATCCCTTTTTATTATTCTCTGCAGGTGTCTATATTCTGTTTCATTAGATTTTATCAGTCGACGTTGTTTTATTAATTTCAAGATGTCGTCTGTCATCCATTTATTTTTCTTGGTTTTTAAATTCACTCCATAGTTCTTCTGGATCTTCTAGTTGTTCTCCGATCATTTTAATTTTATTGTTAAATTCTTTTTTAATGTTATTTTTTATGTTTATATCCTCAAAGTTAAGTACATTGGTTTTTGTTTTTGTCACTGAATTCGTTTTAACCTTAGTTTAATATCTGCTACAAGTGCTTGATGATCAGATCCAATGTCCGCTCCAGGAAATGTAGTGACTCTTTTAACTGCATTTCAGAAATGCTCATTTACAATGTAGGCATAATAAAATTCTTCTCCCAACTGTCACCATCTAATATGAGTAATACTATCTCTGGTGGATTTCTGGGAAGAAAATGATTTCTTAACCAAACAAACAAAATTTCAGCCGTCACATACGCTGACACATACGACATGAACGTTATAGACCCAGTGTGGCAAATTAAACAATCAATGAACTATTACTTTAAATGAACTTTAACTATTAGGTGCAAATAATTATCAAAATTTAAATGGTTGCAATAAACAATCAAAAACAATTTATAGGTTCAGGTAAAACTAGGTGAACTTACCGCTAATCACCATGGTATACACTACTTTACAAAAAAAACGAACAAAACGAATTCAATATGAGTGCATGAGAACAAATGTGTTGATTAATTTATACAACCATATTTGAATTTAAACAACCAGGGTGTATACCGGCTTTGTCCTCAGGTTTTTCATTCATACCTTTGAAAATACATACAGTTGGAAGAAACACTACAAATCTCCATTGCAATTAGCAATAACGGATATTTTCTTTCCTTTTTCTCATGATGTAACATTAGAAATACGTTTGGAGTCCTTTGCGGCCATAACATAGTGGGGGTTATTATTTAGCTGAAGTAAAGTCCCGTCAATATTATAAATATGACCAGGTTAATTATGCAAATTATTTTTTATTAAAATATCTTAAAGCAAAACAAAGTACTTTGTGACATTTTCATTGTTCATTTTGAGCAGAAGAACAACAAGGTTTTAGGTTGGGAAGATCATACACGGACGCTATATTTAGAATGAGGCAAGTGCAAGAGATATCATTAGAATACAAAAACCGGCATATCTATGTTTCGTGGACCTTAAGAAGGTGGACCAGGTCAAATTAAAAGATGTTATGCACTTACTGTACGCAAGGAAGATACATCTAGGAATAATCAAAACGATTGAAAATATCTACCAAAACAATACAATAAAAGTAAAAGTAGAAGAAGAACTAACCGATTCTATTGAAGTTGGCAATGGGATAAGACAGGGAGATTCCCTGAGTCCTCTATTGTTTAATCTGATTATGGATGAAATAATAAAAAAAAGTAATAACTAAAAAGGAATACCAAATGGGAGAAAAACAACTTAACATAATCTGCTATGCAGACGAGGAAATACTGCTCTCTCAAAGTGAAGATAATTTACAACGTATGCTGCACCAATTTAATATAACCGCCGGAAAATTTAACATGTCAATTGCATCAAAAAAGACAAAATGCATGGTTACAACAGCAAATTTACTAAGATGTAAATTGGAGCTGGAAGGTCAGATAATAGAACAAGTGATGGAGTTTAAATATCTAGGCATCACATTATATAGCTACAGAAAGCTCGAAACCGAAGTGGAAGATCAAGTGAATAGAGCAAACAGAGCCGCAGGCTGCCTAAATGAAACAATATGGAGAAATGAAAATATCGGAAAAGAAACGAAAGGCAGAATTTACAAAACAGTCATCAGACTAATAATGACATATGCGGCAAAAACAAGACCTGATACAGAGAGGACAAAAAGGATGTTAGAAACAGCAGAGATGAAAAGACTTAGAAAAATTGATGGTAAGACACTATGGGACAGAGTGAACCTTATTCTTGAATTTCAGGGAGTAGAAATTGCAAGAGAAAAAGACGTAAAAGTAGGCGTGGCTCCCTAAAACCGAAAATGCTGTATGCTTGAAAAAAACTCTCCTAATGCGTGAGGGAAATGTCACTCCCTAAGGGAATAACAATTTCTACTGATAGTAGGTAAGAGAAATTGTAAATGGGAGCGAAAATAACAATACATAACCTTTCAAAAACCTAGGGAAGTATTTTGTTTTTTTTTTAAAACGGAATTTAATAAAAGATGGATATCAATCATATACTCTACTGGAATTATATTATGTTTAATAATGTTTTGGAGGCAGTTGAAAATCTTCAAATTGGCCGGGATGTCCTCCAACCAATGGACCCATTTCTTTTGTCAGATAGAAAATTTTTACAAATTTTAAAATATATTTTGGAATATTCAAAGGTAGCAATAGTAGCAGGGTAGCAGTTACGATTAAAGTGCTCCAAAAAATCACTGCTTTTTGTCACCGTGACAATACCGGAGCAGTCACATTTTGTCACAGCTACACAAAAATCGCAGGTTGGCCCACCACTAAGGGGAGTGATCAGGTTGACGGTTGACAGTATCTTGTCCTTTGTCAATAATTAACTTTTGTGATTGGTTAAAATTTTCATTGAAAACCCGGCAACACTGTTCATAGTTTCTCTCATTCCTTTCCATGATATAAGGAAACATGGTATGCTCACGCGCATCTATTTTGAACAGCCAATCACGTTTACGACCAAAATCCGCCATATTGATGAGGCGGCAATTCAAATATGTACAAAATTGATACGAAATATCGTAGTTAAATAAAATAAAATAAAATTAATATTACACATTAATCCAATTAATTCATATTTAAAATGATCTGAACAGACTCTTGCTAAAATAATTTTTAAAAAATCGAAACAAAACAAAAACACATTTACATTTAAATTCCAGTACATTGCAAAGTAAGGTTAAAAAATGCAAAAGTAAACAAAGCAGACGTCACGCATGTAGAGGTGGTTGATCCAAGTATTTTTGTGGATCAGGTCAGATATGCTCACTTACACTTACTATGAGTAGAGTACCCGTACCATGGACGTATAAATAAAGATCTTTATTTATACGGCCATGACCCGTACTCGTTTTTTATAATATATTGGCGTTAGGGATCAGTTCCACAAGTATAAATAAAATACATGTTCCAAAGTAACTGGTACGGGATCAGGTCACCATCCCTACACACATGTGACATATTGAAAAGATGGTGGATTTTGGTCGGCGCAGAAATGTGCAAAAACGAGTCCACCTAGTGAGCATACCTTGTTTCCTTATATCATGTTCCTTTCTACTCCCGTATTCAAGAATACAGCTTTTTAAAATCGAGAGAAATTATGATGGAGTAGAAAAGCGAGTTAGCTTAGTGGGGAGTAAAATTTTCTCTCGATTCAAGAATAAGGCCCTAGAAGTACAGATATACGACATAGATGCAAGGTGGAGAACGATGAAGTGGGTAAGAAATAGAAGAGTAGAATGGAACGATCATATAAGCCGAATGGCAACAAATAGAGTACTAAAGATGGCAAGAGACGGTTCCCCAATAATAAGACCATCAGTAGGAAGACCACGAAATCGATGGAACGTCAACTTACTGGAGGCACATTGAAAATCAGACAGTGATGTCTATATAAAAAGAAGAAGAAGAATATATTTTGAGCATGAGCTTGGGAAGTACCCTCGGATTTTCTTATTGAAAGCTCAGAATTGCATTTTAAAAATAAATGCAACCAATTGATGCCTTCCAGTTGTGTTGTTTTATTGAAATTATTTTTGATTTTTAACATTAGGTAAACTAATTTATAAGCCATTAACCGTATTTTTGCAGTTTTTTGATATATTGAACAATTTTCTTCTCATTTGCGATACCTAGCAGTGACGATGGACCAAGAGATTTTTTATAGGCAATTCTTCAACATTGTATGAAAAAGGAGACTCACCATTTCTACCCAAGTTACCCTATATAATGTACTAGAATTTATACACAATAATATAAATAAATAATACATTAATTATACTCTTAACATGTAATCTTTGTTTTCAGGAGACGCTCGAAACGGGGACAATTCTTTAGTAGTGAGTATGGAGTTAAACGGAATCACCTACCAGGGCGTTCTCTTCGCCCAAAACCCAACGTCATCTCGAGGAAGAACAGCGTTGGCGTCTTAAATGCTATCACTACCACGGTTCGTCGTTTACCAAGTGTTCAAACGTTAGTGCGCGTCGGAACTTAATTTTTTTGTATTTATTTTTATAGATTTTTATTTTCGTGAGCTTCACAGACAATACGTGCACAAATGTAGCGATTAACGTGTGGAGTAAATAGGACTTTTACACGGGGTGAGGGGAAACACGTTTTATTATAAAGGCAGGATTACAGATGTAAATATTTTTTTAACGTAACACCATTTTTTCTTTGCAGCGACCTTTATAATAATAATATAATAATAATGCATTATTTCCTTTTGAAAGTATTGCGATACTGTTCAGAAAGATGATATAAATTATGTTAAACCTGAAAGTCACTCACCCCGTTTAAAATTGATGTTACGATATTTTCTATAACTTTCGTTACACGTCATTTATCAACTCTTCGGTTGTATGCTGATAATATCTTCCATATTTGACCATTATTAAGGGGATATAGAAATTTAAAATAATGGAAATGATATTTTCGTGAAGTTACAAAGCGAAAAATTAAAATAGAATATTATTTTTTAATGATAAGAAGTCTTAAATTTAGATTAGAATGGTAATTGAAAATGGCTATAACTAAAAATGACGTTCAGGTTGGAACAGGCTACACGTGATCAAAACGATGTATTGACAAGAATCCTATCACCTTAGAAATAATACGAAATACTCTTTTTATTGCGAAAGTAATGGCGAATTTTTTATTAATGTGAATTTACGTTCAACAATTATTTCTGGCAAGGTTTTTTGCTTTTTATTTTTGTGGATTTTCTTATAAAATTCTCTTTAAACGATAGCTTGCAAGTACTTGGTGTCTAAGTTATTTCTGATAATATATTGCTAATATACCTAAGCTTCTAATTCATACATTTTTTCCTATTTAGTAGTCTTCTTTTTCTTCTGCCGGTTTGCATCCACTGGACAAAAGTCTCCCCATGATTTCTAGCAGTATATTACTGCAATTCAAATGTTATAAGTGTCTGCAATGGTCAAGTTTTTGTTTTTTCTAATTAGGATTTTAATCTTAACGTTTAGTCATTATGCACTTGCCTCCTCTAATCTATAATCTACCCATACATTAGGTTGCTAGAAAAAGTTTAAAGTATTAATACTTACTTACTACTTACTCAGTCCTAAGCCTTTCTACCGTTAGGTCTAAGGCTGGCGGAGTTAAGTTTTGCAATGTGTCTCCATGCTTTTACGGTTTGTGTTAGATTTCGTCACTTTCCCATGTCAAGCCTTTCTTCTCAACTTCTTTTCTGATTTCGTCTACCCACCTAACTCTTGGTCTTCCTGGTTTGTTTTTCCCTTGCACTTTCGTTTCAAACACTCGTTTTGTTAATCTTTCATTCGACATTTTACACACACTTAGTTGCCCCTCTACTATTTTTTCGTTTATTGGTTCTAGTTTTAGGTTTTGTCTGATTGTTTCGTTTCTTATTTGATCTGTCCTCTTTCTGTTTGCTATTTTCCTCAGGAATCTCATTTCCATAGCATTGACTCGAGATTTTTGTCTCCCGGTCAATGTCCATGACTCGCTATTATACATGATTGTAGGTCTAACTACTGATTTAACGACTGCCGTTTTTACCTTCTCCGGTATTTTTCCCACAAAAATGTTGTTTTCATAATGTTAAATAAGCCTCCTGTTCGTCCCATTCTCACATTTATTTCCATGTCTTGTTTACCGTTTGATTTAATTATTACTCCTAGGTATTTAAAATGTTCCACTTGTTCTAGTTGTTTTCCGTTTAATTGTATTGCGCGTGTCTTTCTCTTATATGAAATTATCATTGTTTTTGTTATCATATTGTCTTATTGTAAATATTTGGTCCTGTGTGCTTCTGTCCTTCCTGAATCCACATTGTGTATCTTCCATAGTTGGTTCTATTTGGGTTTTTATTGTTGTTTCTATTATTCTTGCGAATACCTTTCCAGGAATACTTGATATAGTAATACCTCGGTAATTATTACAGTTTCTCTTGTCGCCCTTTTTATGTATTGGAAGTATAATGTCTTTCTTCCAGTCCTGTGGTATTTCTGCTCTCTTTATGATATCATTCATTAGTTCTTTCATGCTGTCCACTCCCTCTATTTCCATGAATTTTATCATTTCCGGGGTGATATGATCCTTGCCTGGTGCTTTGCCTAATTTAACTCTTTTAATTGCCATTTCTAGTTCCTCTGTTGTTATGGGTTCTACTTTTTGTTCTTCATTTATTTCTTGTATCTCCACTATGTTGTCTACGTCTGTATGAGTTAGCTCTTTGAAATGTTCTCTCCATTTTTCCATTATTTGGTTTTCTTCTGTTATTACCTTTCTATTCTTGTCTTTTATATTCGGCATCATGTGTTCTTTCTTTTGTCTGAGCTGATTTAATGCGCCATAGAAGAGTTTTTGATTTTCCCTATAATTATTTGTCATTTTTCGTTCAAACTTTTCCCATGACCTTTCTTTTTCTGCTTTCACAGCTATTTTAAGGTATTAATAAAGGTGCAAAAATTAAAAATTTGGATGCTTTGACTTGTTTACATATGGCACATAGAAGTGCGGCAATAATAATTTTATTGCTTACTTACAGAACTAACGGGATCTTCTAGTTATATGACCGACGGGTTGACTATGAGGTGAAATAAAAGTTATACAAAAATATGAATAAATCCAAAAGTTTTCATTAAAACAATAACCTATAAGTCTGTTTAAAGGATGATGATGTGATTTTTAATTTTTTTAAGTAAGTGTATGATTGCTATAGTGTACATTTTGATTCCTTATGATAACTAAAAATGGCCAGTTTAAAATGCATTTGAAGCATTTTTAATATATTATGCCATTGTGTCATACTTTAGATACTTAGTTATTGGACAAAAAACAAGTAGATTGGCAGTAATGGGTACATATTTATTTCAATTGATGCTAGGAATTATTCGTGTTGTTAACAAATATTGTTTCTTATAGTAAATGGTTAAAATACATAACTGCAATAATTTTTGAACTTTAAATATTTACCGATATGTTAGTTCTTTGTTCTTTGTATTCATGAAATATAATTTATTTCGCAAGATTATATCAATCCTGGATTTATATTTTTATAAAAAAACAATATAAATCCAAGTACCAATAAAATCTCACAAAGTTATAGTGAAATCACATAACAAGTACGAACTTCGTTATCTGGGTAGATACGAAACAGTTAGGCGAAATATTAATTCAAATATGTGACGATCAAAGAACCCATTTGTAGTTACAATTATAATAGCACTAAGACATTTATGTATCTTTCGAATCTGCATCAGAATAAATATTCGGTGCTACATTAGTGAATATATCTCCATTTACAAATGAACAATTATTAATGTCATCAGTAATAATTTGTTTGCCCTTTCCACTTTAAAAATCATTGCTTCATGTCTTGTAGACTCAATATCATTTTTCTCTACAAAAATCTCTTCTGTGTCCATTTTCGCATTTCTTTTCTCCTGCTTTTAGGTATTACCAAAATTTGTTGCATCTTCCATCTCCATTCTTTTTTTTCTAACTTATTTTTTTTTTCAGTAATTCCTATAGTCACTTGTATTAGACACCTAGCTTTTATCTGATTCAACTGATAATAAAACAATTTTCCACAAAAACTTTCCTTTTTGTTCTTTCCTTATCATATCTGCTTTATCATATTGGTTAAAAACAGCTTTAACAATTTTTACCAATCCCTATTATTGTCCATTTTACACTCTTACAATTTTTTGTCTTCGTTAATCTCTATAAGCATTGCGTCTCATCAAATTAAATATTTTTAATATAATAATATTATGCAGTTAATTTTCAGCCCTTCAGTTTTCCTTTTTAACACTTATATTTTAACACTTTTTACTTCTAGGACTTTTGGTACGATTTTCCATGATATTTGTAAATAAATATTTTATTCGTGTTTTTTAAAACACTGTCTGAAATTGTTTGTTCTTGACGTTTCGTCCCAATTGCGGCAAACGTTATCGAAGTCGCCGAGGAAGTAGGTATAGACGTTATCCTATTTCGTCCTCATCAACCACTGATGATCTTCCACTAGTGTCTGCGTTATTTGTAACCGTAGTGTGTTTCCCGGAATACGTCAGGTTGTGCAGACACCCTTGTATAATGTGTTTTTCTAACCATTATACCGCTTTTGTATTTGCGAGACATAAATCGTCGAGGGTGCACTGCGATGGACAAATTTGGGGGATTCGACGCTGACACTTCTTATGAACCTTTTTCTTGATTTAAACTGGCTAGTTACTGGCATTTTTCTATGTACTCTGTTAGGTTGAGTACTTGGCCTGTGCAGTCTTTGCCTGGCCTGAAGCCTGCTTACTGCGGAATTAGTTTCGCATCACTGTTCCTAGATGCGATTAAAAATAAGGCGTTTATATAGTTTGCATAGATCTAGTTATTATTATAGTATATTATTATAGTGCTAGTTCAGCGGCATTCCCGGATTTCATTTTTTAATTTCACCACAATTTTGGTATCTGGTACACAAACTTACAGTTGTTAAATAGGTCAAGTACCAATTGTGTCACTTGTGGCCCGAAGTGCTTCTTCAAGATATTATTCACCCCAGGTGATTTTCCATTTTCCATGACGTCCATGCCGTTTTTGAGGTTCTCGGTGATAAATACATTTCAGAACATAGTTGTTTCCTGATCTTACATTCTTTTAATTTTCGGTGCTTTTCATCCATGGTTTGCTTTACCATTTAGCAGCAGTTGTGTGCTATCCGATTTGGTGTTTTTTGATCATATTCCAAGCGTACTTACCTAGTGTCTCACTCCACAGGTTTTATCTTGAGGCGCTAAGTATCTGCTGAAATTTCTTACCTATCTTCGCCATGATTTCGCTAAATGGATCTTGCCATATTTTTCGGTGTATTTTGCCATTATGTCTTTTGCTTCGTCGTTAAGACCAGATCTGTAATGTTGACATCCTTTGGGTATGTGCTTATATACCCAGAGTTATATGCTTATTTTTTTAATACGAATAATATGCAAGGAACAAAGAAACTGCTTTCTGCAACCCAATAAGAGTACAATGGGTAATATAATTACTGATTTTTTCAGTAATCATGAAATATCAAATTTTAAAATGAAATTTTTGATATTCGTATCCAGTATTTTTACTGACTGTCAAAAATGTCTTTAAAACCCGGAATATCAAAAATGTTTTGACACAATTTTTGTTATTCTACCATTATATTAACATTAAATTTATTCTCAACGAATTTGTTGTAAATAGTATATATAAATACTTAGTAAAACAGTATTTTAGAATAGAGTGTGTATGATTTTTATGATTTTTTGTATATTCGCCAAAAGACTGTTACTTTATTATGTAATTCTCACTTATGGAGTGTAACAATAAAAATCATTTTTAATAATGGAATTTACACATTTTTATTTTGTCCCAATAAAAACAAAGATACAAGTGCGATCTAATGAGTAATTCGACAAAAAAGCGGAAATGAACAGAACACATTATTTTTTAAATCTAAGTATTCAATATTTTAAAATCTCTCCTGCTATGTCTCCTGATAGTAACTCTTTAATGCATAATTTTTATTTAATTAATAATACATTGTAAGTTAAAATGTCAAATTTATTCCTATTGAATTTATTAAAAAAAATTTTTAAGTATACTTATCATTGTTAAAAATAAAAACAAATTAGGGGAACGTGGGACAAAATAGTCCTTGTAACATTTTTTAGGCTAAAAATAATAATAAACAATAATCTTATCTAAGTATGCAGTTAAAAGAAAAATATCATTATTAAAAAAAACTCTAAAGGGACAGTTGTAAGCGTACAATGACCCGCTCATGAGGTAAATAGACCCCTTAGTTCTTGTGTACAGGAAGAGAAATAAAAAATTTTATTTACAAAAATCGCAAATATACAATTTCTGCTTTCCAATTACACTCACACACACAATAAATAAGACCATTTATTGCACAAATAATTGCACTTGATTCAAACCTCCTTCGTCTGCATCTCTTGCTAATTAAATATTTTATTTTCTTTCTTTTTTTCTAAACATCTTTCTGCTTACAGCTTTTCTAGCTGCTTGTGAAGTTGACGTGGAGAGAATTTAGTGTGGAGGTGAAAACCGTCGACCCTTGAGAAAAACTTCTTGTCTGTTAAGATGGCTGAAGTAGTGGGGAGTTACAAAAGTCCTCCAGCGATAATGGAATTTCATTCCCTTTATTGCCACCTTTCTATTCTGAGGTGCTAACTTTGGAAATTGGAATTGAATTACCACCTGCAGAGCTCGTAATGTCAATTTCATGGTTGAAAGCAACAACTTCCTGATTTAAAGCTGCAGTAAATACAGTTTTAATTTCCGGTGATCCTTCAGGGATATTTCCAAAAAGGATGATATCATCTTAAGATCGCTCACTTGGATTCTGACTCGACTGATGAAGATATATTATCAATTTTTCTTTTCCTTATTGGTAAAGTACTTGAAAGCGAATAAGCATCTCTTTGTGGAGGAGTTCTTTGTTCATTGATGGCGTCAACGGTTTCATTTTCTACTAAAGGTCGATCAGTTGTACATGATGGTTTAAATTTCCAATCTGGGACTATCTTCGGATTATTAGGACAGATGCCTATTGTGTCAAATCCACCGAGTGCGTTGTTAAATGTGGTAGTTCTTATATACGCTTTTCTAAACCAGCTAGCTAAGTTATACAGAGCTACTACTTTTCTAAAGTTTATTTTAAGTCATAAAATATGGAGGAAACGGTGCGCGATGGCCGCATCCAATGAGTGGAATGTGGAGGAAACGACAGCAGTATAAGCAGCCAAGGAGAGGGATGCTTGGAGGCGGATGCTGGGGGAGGCCAGGGCCCGACTTAGGCTGTAGCGTCATAGGAGACAGTATTTTAATGACTTGAATGACCATCATGCAATAAAAGGACCTTATTTCCAACTGAGCACTGTGTATGTTGGGTTAAAATGTTTTAAAAACATGCTGAGTATGCTAAGCAGTTATATTTCATGTATGCAGATTAGTTGCAAAGAGAATGAATCTTGTTGTTGAATTGGCCCGCAGCATTTACACAAAGGTCAACATTTGAGCGCTTGTTAGAAAACTATCCTGTTTCCGTGCTTTATGTGCTAAAATTTTGGTTAACTTGCTAGTGACCGTCTGGATACCAGACTCATCTATGTTATATATTCTGATAGGATTGATGTTATTTTTATTTTGTATTTAATCTAAAAGAAAAAAACCTTAGCAATTGCCTTAAAGCTTCTCGCTCTGGCAGTTGAGGTCGCCTCAGGAGTTCTGAAAGAAACCTCTAGGTGTCTCTTTAGAAAACCTCTAAATTATGCATTTCCAGTTGATTTTTGTTTCCAGAAAACCTGTGTTTAATGCCGTTCTTCTCCGATAGGCCATTTGTCGCAAATGTTTTTCTTTGTCATCGCCAAACAACCAGTCTTACATTTTTAAAACATACTCCTTTAAGTAAGTTTTTGTTTCCAGAAAACCTGTGTTAATGCCGTTCTTCTTCGCAAGCTCGTAGGCCATGTGTCGCAAATGTTTTTCTTTGTCATTGCCAAACAACCAGTCTTACATTTCTAAAACGTACTGCTTTAAGTAAGTTTTTGTTTCCAGAAAACCTGTGTTAATGCCGTTCTTCTCCGCAAGCTCGTAGGCCATTTGCCGCAAATGTTTTTCTTTGTCATTGCCAAGCAATCAGTTTAACATTTTTAAAACATACTCCTTTAAGTAAGTTTTGTTTCCAGAAAACCTGTGTTTAATGCCGTTCTTCTCCGCAAGCTCGTAGGCCATTTGTCGCTAATGTTTTTCTTTGTAATTGCCAAACAACCAGTCTTACATTACTAAAACATACTCCTTTAAGTAAGTCTCCAGTTCTTTGGACAATGTTGTAGTAAATCGACTAAGGCTTTTAGTAATCACCTGTTATCTAAAAGAAAGTACCGATCATGTTCTGACATCTCCCTTTTGAATAAAACAGTATACTTTTAGTTTACTTACCAATACATTTTGATTTCCAATTACCACTATTTCTGTAAATAAGTGACTTCTGATAATTAAATAAATATAGATATTAAACAGAAAAATACCTTTTTAACTGACATAAAAAAATTGTAATTACTTTATTAAAATGCCCAAAAACACAACTTTTGTGAGCACAAACTGTGTTTTATAGGTTATAATAGAATTAGCGGATTATGCTTCGAACATCTTCACAGTTGCATATAGCGAACGCTAGTAGTAGTTAGAACTAGAACACTAGTAAAGAAAACTAAACGTCGATTTTATGAAAATTATGAGAAATATTAGGGGACCATTTTACCCGACTTACCCCCATTATAATGTTTGCAACGTCCATGATAATACATCATTTGTTATAACAATTAGTTAATGATCAACATTAATTTTTTGTGGCCCAATTGGTTATGTATTGCCTCCAATTGAACTCCTCTTTCTGGCGAATCTATCCGACGCTCAACATTCATTCGGTGGCTTATCTAAAAGTGTTTGTATAATCTGCTAATCATATATACGTGCCTGCTTCATTGCAACGAGTTAATACTTTAATAATGTCATTAAAATGGTGGCCTTTAAAAAATGTGCCACGAAACTGCAGAGTTAGGAAGCAAGATGAGAATTTGTCTGCGAAAGAAAATATTTTTTCTTAGAAGAAGCTAACTTGGAAATCAGTGCTAATCGACAACGAAGAACTAATATCCTCGAGATAACAGTATTTAAGGAATATTCAAAAATACAGACAGAAAATGAAGGACATTTACTTAAAACTATGACAGGACAAAATTATCTAAACCCCTCTTTTATCTTTCACAGCAGGCTTATCTACTGAAGTAAAAATTGTTGTCGGTAAAGGTCCTCGAAGTCCAACGCATATTGCACGCTATTATGAAGAAATTACTGCAGATGTATTTGAAAAATGTTTTATAGAAGTTTAAGTTAATTTTAGAAAATGCTGTCGTGGGTGCGGTCAATGCACTTATACTTTTATCTCAGCCAATTCAGCAATATTTATGCTTTATCATACAATTTAAACAGTATTTAGACCTTATTACTCTATTACATGTTGCAAAAGGGAGGTATTTCAGAAAATACAGACATTGACACATTTTAGAATAAGAAATCCATTGTGCACTATGAAATCCATTCATTGTGCACTATGAAAATTTAGTATTGCCGTAACTCAGGACCACGGGTTAAAGTGTCTTCAACTAATGCGTATTTATTAAAATAAAGTAATAAAATAACTATATTTGGTTATGCAGTCTTGCTTTTAAAGATATGTACTATTAACAGCAGGCATAATTTGTAGTGTTGTATTCCTGCTACAGTATGTATTGAAGAGTTAATATATGGAACATATATGTTTGTAGACAAATTTTGAGAAATTGATAATTAGAAAATCATTTGTTGTCATATTACTAAAGAAATTTTAAATTGTATTAAAATATACTACTAATAGGATATCATATGGCAAGTAATAGCTAATTTGAAACTCTAATTTCTCTTAGTATATTTCTAGATCTGCGTGCGGTTCTCTCGTGACTCTGGTGGCAATTTGGAAAACGTATCAGATATCGCTAATAATTTGGTAACCTTACAACGTTTGTCTAAACCGCTAGAAGAGATCAGTGTACCTACATTCCCAGGTTCTTATAGAATTTATTTGTTTTTTGATTGATGGCTGTCAAGAATATGACATCATCGATATTTTTCTCAAACGACAATATAAGGCATATTTTGAGGATACATCTTTGAAAAGTTCTTATGTCACTCTGTGTTGTTTGATATTGTATATACGTATTCTATTTTTGTGATTATTTATAATCTGCTATTCTATGGTCACTATTTTTTTTTTGTAGTAAGATATACAAAAGTATGGAAAAGGATATAAGATCGATACTATTTCGACTCATCCCAAACCATGTCATTCTATCTTTTTCTTTGTCGATACTGGATCTTGTAATAAACAAATTTTATATTTATTGTGTAAAATAGCCTAAAAAGAAAAAATTCTACTATTATAACTAAGTATAATTTTCATGGAATTGGAAGCTGCTAAGAATGTAGAAATGTAATGTTAAGAGCATAACCATCCATCCAATGGCACTACAGCCCAAGCCGGGCCTTGGCCTCCTTCATTAAACCTCTCCAAACATCTCTATTTACTGCTGTTTTTTTCCATGAACGCGTTTTTAGGAGATTTTTGGCATCCTCATCTACCTCGTCTTCCCATCTCTTTTTTGGTCTTCCAACAGGTCTTTTTCCTTGCATTCTTGCGTTTAGTAATTTTCTGGGGATTCTGTTCTCATGCATGCGGGCCACATGCCCTGCCCATCGTAATCTCTGCAGTCTAGTGTATTGTGC